GAAAACACAATTGTTAATCTTTATATTCTAAAATACCGTAATTTGGAATGGATTTACTTACAAAATGTGATGCCAAATGATATACAGGGTGGTAAAAAAGTCCCAGGACAGTTAAATATTTTAAAAATAATGTAGATAGAGCTACAATACTTGGTACAAAGTTACAGGGCATAAAATTCTATTTTAACACATATTCAGTGATCCAATAACTCTTCAGGGGGACGGCCTACAAGGAGTCGGAAGAAAATCTTAAATGGAAGCATATACAATATACATAATACAATTTGCGCAGGATCAACCTTTTGAAGTGCGGTTTATGGCATTGTATTCTACTAAAAGAGACCTTTAATTTGATGTGCATATTGACCTATGCTTCCATTTAAGATATTCTTCCGACTCCTTGTGGGCCGTCCCCCTGAAGAGTCATTGGATCACTGAATATGTGTTAAAATAGAGTTTTATGCCCTGTAACTTTGTACCAACTATTGTAGCTCTATCTGCATTATTTCTTTAATTTAACTGTCCTGGGACCTTTTTACCACCCTGTATATCATGATTACGTTTATACTATCAACGTTCGGTCAGCAAGGTAAAATAACAATTCAGTTTGGAAATAAAATATTAAATCCTATCAAATTTGAACTATTATTACTAATGATGTGATGTAATCAATTCTATGTAAACCTTAATTAATGACTTATCGAATTTTACGCAATAATCATTCTGTAACTGAATTATAAATTTTATTCTAGTCGTACACACAATTAACAATGTTTTTATTTTATTTTGAAAGCACTTTATCTCAGTCATGCAATTAGTGTTTTCCCCACATATTAATAGGGGGAAAGAATTCATTAAAAGAAGAATCAATATTGTATATACTCTTTTGAATACTGTTTGGAACTTTAATTGTGTAACGGTTTCTCAAAAACAGCTCTTAAAACATTTATACAAAAAACATCAAACAGAAACTGTTCTGAAAGTTCCTAACGAGTTCCGTTGTAACCTTTACCACTATCTCCTCGAAAGTCCCAAAGTACCATTTATCTCAAAACTTTACACAAATTAATGCAATTGCGCTAATTGCTCTTAAACTTGCCAACGTTCGTTTTAGAATATTTCACTCCAAGTAGATTTTGGATTTTAATTCAAGAAGTTTCCTAAATTCATTATATCGGCTACTAATTCAATAGGAACGGATAGAATCAGGTCTGACTAATTCCACTATTGTGTACCAACCTCACATAGTAACTTTGGCCATATAGTCAAATAAAGAGACATTTATTAGATCCTGGCAAAGTAACCGGTTTGATTAACAGAACTTCTGCTATGTTTTTAAGCTAACCAGTTTTAAATACTAAAACATTACTTCACTATTTTAAACTGAGGTTTGAAGCTGAGAGTGTATCGATCCCAAATATTTTGAACATTTGTTTAAGCAGTACTTCAGCATTTCTTTGCAAAATAGAAATGTATGGGCCAGAAAATGGTTTGTAAAATTTTTATTTTATAAATACCATTTTCTTGGATACAATAAACAAAATATGTTTACACTCTCCCACACAAATAATATGTGCAGTAATACACATAAATATTTATACAGCATTCCCTTATCAATCATGTTGCACACGTTGGAAGTTGACTGTTTTTGCTATCAGATCAGCTGTAGAGACTGATAAGAGAATCAATCATGTGACACAAACCACCAGATGTCAGTAGAAACTTTGACCGATTCACTACTTTCGCTGGAAAATATTTGTTTGGACAAACTTCTGACTATAATATCCTAAGTTACCTGGGAAATTAAATATTCTTATCTTACGATAGTTAATTATTTTAGGTTATAACGATAACACGCCCCGTGGTCGAAAAATCAACCAAAAGTATGAATTGTGAAACTTCTCTATTTTCACCCCGCCCCCACCCCACAATATTAATAAATCATATGATTAGAATATATTCCGTTTGTTTTGATTTTCTCTTGATGTTTTGTTGTTATTTCGTCATCACCATGGTAACCTAAAGGACCCATGTTAATTTTTTCAAAATTTTTAATTCATTTTTCGTGCTTATTTGTGAGCCTATTTTAATTTATAAAGGGACTCTGCACATCGACAGGTAAATATCTTTCATTTGGTACCAACCCTGTGTAATTCGGTCCAGTAGTAAGGTCAGGCTAGCTGTCATAAGTTTTGCAAAAGTTTTTCTTTTAATCAATTGTCTCTACCATTTAGCTACCTTTTGTTAAAGTGTTAATATTCATTTGATTTTTGATTAATGTCAATTCCCATTAAATTAGGCCAAAGGTTTGGATTCCACTATAAACTGTAGGTACCTTAGTTGCCATTAGCTATATGGGCTATTAATTAACATCTGTGTCTTAGGAATATGTATGCCTTGGTCACTAACAAGACTACAAGATCGCGCTACTCATCCTACACTCATCTCCATTCTACTTGGCTTAAAATACCTACCAAATTGCCGTCGGTATTATCGCCGTTTCAATTAAAAATATTAAAGTATGTCAAATAATGGACCAATTATTTAGACTCTTTCTAAATATGTGATAAGTACTAAAAAATATAAATTAAAGTTAGCAAAATAAATCACTTACTTTGTGAGCCGTGACTATTTCCACCGGGCGAATGTCACGACTCATATTCAATGGTTAATGTGTTTTTTGTATAGTAGGCTAGTTCAGTGTTTCGTTTGTTACTTCCACGACCCCGAACAAGGCTGTGAGTCTTGTTCTTCTTACTCGGACCGCCTAGTGTCAGAGGCTCCGAGACATTGCTCCTGTCGACAACGAGTTGATTATTCATCCTTTTACATCTTTATTTTGTAGCATGTTTAAATTGCAGTTTGCCTCTATTTTATTCAGGGTGTTATTAACGTCGACCATGGATTAAATTTTAGTACGCCTTGCGCGCCTTTTGGGGTCCAGGAGGACTACCGTCAACCCAGGACGTGGAGCATCAACCTGAGGCGGAGACCATTTACCACCCCTTGGCCTCCATTTGGATTCTGTATGGCCTCCTCTCCGCCCAGCTTCACCAGCCCTCTAGCGACCTGGATCTGTGCCGCCTAGTATAGAACTGTTACCACCGTACCGCAAGTTACCTGTTTCTTGTTAATTAATGTTTAGATTTTTATGTACTGTTAAAGATTTTTAAAGCCTATTTATTGTTATTTTTTGAGAAAACTTTATTCTATAGTTTTTAGTAATTCATTTATAAAAAAAAAGAAAATTTCAAGAGCATTTATTTTTGGGGCCCCTAAGTGTTAAATTGTTACCAGTTATTTAAAGGAAGAGATTTTTATATATTCATTGTTACAATTTTACAAATTTTATTTTATTAAGGTTAAAACTGATTAAATTTACTTTGACTGAATTTAGCCTATTTTGAATTTTTTTTAATTAACGTTTGTAAGTTAGTAGGCCAAATTGGCAACAAAAATTTATTTAAACTTTTATTGAGAGTATTTAATTCATGTATTGTTGTTGATTTTGTTGTTGTGTTTATTCAAATGGTTAATTACAGCTCGTTTCTCTCAAATGGCGTGTTGTTCTTGAACCTCCATCCATGGTTCTCATTTTGTTAAGTAAAGTTTTGTGAGCCGCCCCTCGGGCCTGCGCATGGATCACGCTTTCATTTCGTTAGTCTGGGTGCAGGCACGAGGGCATGGTTCATTTGTTAATCCCCAATGTATATATAACAGCCAAACAACGATAGGTTTGTATTGTAATAGAAGCTCTTTTCAGCTGATAAATTTGGTAACTGTATAATTAAAACACTTCCAAGCTGGTTGATATTTGCCTTCAAAGGATTAGCTGTGAGTTTTCTTAAGGAGATTGCTTCATGAATACTAATTGTATGCGTAGTTGAAGAGGATCTTTGGTTGAAAAGAATGGATTAGTCTCTTATTTTGAGAATTGATGTTACACTTGATTTTTTATAGCAATTTCAAAACTGTAATAAACTTTTCTAAATGTAACTGTAACATACATTAATTCTGGAAGTATTTTAAATCTTACATCGTTTTTCAAACTTTTTTTGGTATTTATTGCGTTGCAGGAATAAACTATTTCTTAAAATATTATGTTTGAAAAAAAGATATTGGTGCGGGTTTTCCTTTAAACTGAAATTGACCAAAAGGTTTGATTTAAAAAATTTAATTTTTTAGAACTTAATTTTGTTCTGTTAAAATATGCACTTAACTATAATCAATACTATAATCAATACTATCAGTACTATAATAAATTGATAGTAATACTCATTTCAGTTTTAAAATAGTTTAGAGAGTTAATCTCGAGTGTATTTTTGCATTACCGGTAGTGAAGTAGTATATACAGTAATACATCTAAATTTCTCCAAAAAAACCCAAACACAGATAAAGCAGTTAAACATTTATCAGTTAAAGATTGGTCACACAGCAAAACATGTCGGAGGCAGTTAAGCGAGCTGTCTCGGAAAAAATTAAACAGTATAAAACATTATAGTTTTTCTATTTACCATAAATAATATTGAGTGAGATGAAAATGTGCTTCATCACATGAACAGAAAAGCTTTCCACCCTTGCTTATTTTTCAACCACGGCTTTGCTTCTAATGTTGTACTATGATCCCTCCAATCGAAAAAAGTCCTAGTGATAAATTGTACTACTATACGGTATTACACGTATCTTCATAATTTAGTATTTTCCCAACCTTCACAACCGTGATTTCATAAAACATACAGAGTCCTTGTAGTTATCATTTAATTATTAAATGCTGTTGATTAAAGAATTTAGATACTGATGGATATAAACTTAGATTGAACGATAGATGTAGATAGATAATTAAGAGAGAAAAACTAGATGATGTTTTTAGTGGACTGTATTTCTTTAAACTGAACAAAAAGTAAACATGATATAAAATAAGACCAGCTGTTAGAAACAGTGAATTAGAAAAAATAACTTTAAACATTCTCCCCCCCATTGCACCGAAGGAGCAATAAATATTAATCACTGACTTCAATTGGAAGAGGACAAAGCTTGACTATTGGTCTTTTCAATGAGGTACTTGATGTTCTCAGAGTGGCTACTCGGGTAAGTCCATCACGACCTGGATGAAGTTCAGTCACTCTTGCTAGCGGCCACTTTGATGGTGGTAATTGCTCATCAACAACAAGAACAACTGATCCGAGTTTTATTGAACAGGAAGGAAATCTCCATTTGTATATTGCTTGAAGTTGTTGAAGGTACTCCCGAGACCACTTCTTCCAAAATGATTCCAACATTTGGCGAGTTAATTTCCATCGAGTAAGTCTTGATGTGGGTTGGTTTTCTTGATTAGGTTCTGGGATAGTAGTTAAAGATTCGCCAACTAAAAAGTGCGCAGGGGTTAGGATTGCTAGATCGTCTGGATCTTCTGTAAGCTGGCAGAGAGGGCGAGAATTGAGTACAGCTTCTATTTGTACCAGCACTGTCGAAAATTCTTCGTAAGTTAGTAGGTGGGTCTTCATAACTCTTTTGAGATGGTATTTAACTGATTTAACACCAGTTTCCCAATGACCTCCAAAATGTGGAGCAGCAGTGAGTTCCAGTCGAGGAATCGACATTGTCTTGAGAGGAGCTACTTTAGTTTTAGAAATAACTAAACTAACAGTGATATTTTCACGATTAACGATTCTTAGGTAGACTACAGCACTCATTGCAAGCTTAGAAGCATCTGAAAATCCATGAATTTCTACCGAAGATAGTTGGGTAAGACCAAGATAACGAGGTACTTTAACTAATGGCAAATATTGTAGGTCAGCTTCAAGGAGTTTCCATTGGTCTTGCAAGTGATTAGGTAAAAGTTGGTCCCAATGAATTTTTACTAGCCAAAGTTGTTGCATGAAGTGTTTGAACCTTATGATAATAGGAGAGACAAAACCCAAGGGATCGAATAACTGACCTATTTGAGAAAGAACGTTTCTTTTCGTGCATTTGTCTTTTGGACTTAGAGTAGGAAGAAACTGAAAATCGTCGCTGAATCGATTCCATGTAAGTCCAAGAGTACGTATACTGGAGGATTTGTTTATCAATAAGGAATTGCCTTTTTCGCAATTACTTTCCGATATGTATGATAGTACATTTTGATCATTGCTGATCCACTTCTGTAAAGGAAAACAACCTAATTTGCAAAGCTCGTCAGTCTGTTTTACTACTTCTCTGCACTCTTCAATCGAGTCTGCACCACCAAAAATGTCATCCATATATCTCCCTCTTGTCAACATTTCACTAGCTTGGGGATATGCATCACCGTGATCGACGATAAGCTGATTCATTGTTCTTAGGGCGAGAAAAGGAGCGCATGATAACCCATATGTAACAGTCTGTAGTTGAAATTTTCTAAGATGACCATTTTCCATCCAGAGAATTCTTTGAAGATCTCGATCACTGGGATGTACTAGAATCTGGCGATACATTTTCTCGATATCAGTGGCAAATACGTATTTATAGCGCCTAAACCAAGTGAGAATATCAGGTAGTTCTGTTTGGAGTTTTGGACCACTGTAGAGTACGTCATTCAAAGATAATCCTGAACTAGTTGGGAATGAGGCATTGAAAACTACTCTTAATTTAGTCGTCGTGCTAGAAGGACGCAAAACACCATGATGAGGTAGGTAATATATGGGAATGGTAGAATCTATTTCTTTAATAGTTTCAGTCATGTGACTAAGGTCTTTGTATTCTTCTATGAAATTAGTATACAAGTTTTTGTATTCAAGATCGTTTGAGAGACGAGTATTTAGCTTTGTTAAAATTTGAAAGGCTGACGATTGAGATTCTCCAAGCTGATTGACTGTTTCCTTCAGGGGAAGTCGGACTTGATAGCGACCGGAAGGTTCTCTAGAAAAGGTTGATTGATAATGTTCCTCACATACTTGATCATCAGGAGACTTGACTGATTCTTTAATTTGAGGAATTTCTTCCTGTACCCAAAATTTTTGAAGAAAATCATCAAGTTTGTTTTCAATCAAGCAATGAAACATTGATGAGGTAGATTTATTTTCCGTCATTCCAGTAGGTCCAGACAAGATCCAACCGAAAATTGTTGCTTGTGCTACTGGGGAGAGGGGTGGACCTTTAATTAGACCAGGAAGGATAATAGACGTGTAGATGTCTGCTCCTAGGACTAAATCTACAGATTCAGACTTCATGAAGGCAGGATCAGCTAGTTGAAGTCCCTTTATATGATTCCACGATGAATGATTTGGTGTTATCGATGGCAAATTTGATGTGAGATTTGAAAGGATGTGACAAGATAAAGAGCAGCTAACTTTGGTATCATACAGAGAACTAAGATTGATTGAAACTATACCACGAGTGGTTGGGGCTTGATGTCCACCGATACCAACAAGAGATACTGAGGAGTATGAACGCTTCAGATTGAGAGTTTGTACTAAGTATTCACTGATGAAAGAGATTTCAGATCCTTGGTCGATTAAAGCTCTGGCAATAACACTATTTCCCTCAGGACCAATTACCTTAACTTGAGCGGTTGCTAGGAGCACAGATTGTCGATTAATTTCCTTAAATGGAAGCATGTGATTAGAGGAGACGTGTGAGCTTGATGATGTGTTATCTGTAGATGAGATGAATTTGTTAGGGATGAGAGAACTTGACTTTTTTATATGAGGTATATTTGTAGTCTGGCTAACAGCGTCATGAATTAGAGTGTGATGTCTTTTCTTACATTGTAAACAAGATTTATTTGAGCGACAGTCCTTTAACAAATGTGAACCAAGACAGTTGAAACATAATCTTTTGTTCACAAGAACCTCTTTTCGTTGACTAGGTACTTTTTCACGAAACTCCTTGCAAAATGCTAAATAGTGATCTTTACTACACAGTTGACAATCATTTCCTATATTGGACTGAGATTTTGCTACAATTTGTGCTGAATGTACTTTAAGATTTTGATGAGGTTTACCTTTACATTGTAGTGTAGTTACCGTTACATCGCTTGGTGGTGTTGCTCGTGACTCAATACTTTCCAGGGCTCGAATACGACCTTCGATGAAGGTCTGAAGATCTTCTAGGGTGGAGGGTTCTGTTGAGACTCCGTAACGAATCTCCCATGCTTCGTGTGTCTCTGGGTCTAGTCGTTGTACAATCATGTACACCAAGATGTGATCCCATTTATCTGTAGGAGATCCTAGCGCTTTGAGGGAACCTAAAGACTCATTGATAGTAGACATGAGGTGATTGAGACCACTAGCAGATTTATTTTCTAGAGGTTTTAAATTAAATATATCATCCAAATGCCTTTTGATTAAAACACGTTTGTTTTCATATCTAGTCACAAGTTTTTCCCAAGCTGGCATGAAATTTTCTCCTGTTATTTGGAAATTGGTTAGCAATTGAGCAGCATCACCTGACAAACTGGTTTTGAGATAGTGTAACTTAGCTACATCAGTTAAGTTAGGATTTTGGATCACCAGTGAAGAAAAAAGATCATGGAAAGGTTTCCAAGACTGGTAACTTCCTGAGAATTGAGGTAGAGATATTTTAGGTAGTATAGGTTGATTTGATTTACTCATAGAACTAGATGTATTGATATCAGATGTGCTTTGATTTTGTTGAGAATTTACCGATAGCTCATCTAAGAGAACAAGCATTGCAGATTTGCTTACCATATATGCTTCAAGTGCTTGACTGTAGTGATCTTCATTTATGTAGGCTAGGTCTTTTAGTATGTCAGCTTTTGACTCACATATTTTCTCGTGATCCCTCTCGAATTTCCTCCATTCTGCTTCGATAACATCAATCCGGGTTTGTACTTGAGGCTTCAATATAGTTGTTATATCCTTTTCCTTGAAATAGTCTGTGGCTTTTTCTAAGATTTTTAAGCGTGTTGCTTGAAGACCTAGTTTGGATTCTAGGGACATAACTTCAACTGAGAACAGGAAATTTTCTTGATTACTTTTATAACTGAATTGAAAAAATAACTGTTAATTACTTATTTATTCCGGGTCAGAAGGACCAAATGATTAAAGAATTTAGATACTGATGGATATAAACTTAGATTGAACGATAGATGTAGATAGATAATTAAGAGAGAAAAACTAGATGATGTTTTTAGTGGACTGTATTTCTTTAAACTGAACAAAAAGTAAACATGATATAAAATAAGACCAGCTGTTAGAAACAGTGAATTAGAAAAAATAACTTTAAACAGCTGTAAACATTTAATTATTTTTAGCTCCATATATTTGTAAAATATTTATCATTGGGCAGGTTAATTAAGAGGATTGCATATACTTTTCAGGAGGGTATATTTACATTCAAACATTTTGAGTGACAGCTGTGGTTTGTGGTCAACTAACTGCGAGTGACATTTTGTGGTTGGTTTACCGATTATTGTTGTTGTATGTAGGTGTATTCAATGTAGGTCTTGAAAATGATTCCCAAAAATGTTCTTTGAATATTACACTCATTATAAATTCAAATGTTTATAATATTTCAATTTGTACGTCAACTGCTACTTAGAGTTAACAACAAATTGTGTAAATTACAGTATATTCACACCATGCAACACCCTACAACACCGTAAACGTTGGTAAACTTTAATCACTTTCGATTCGACATTTTCCTATCGAGGAGAGTATATAAAATTTCTAATAACACTTGAAACATATTTAAACTTATACTATTTTAAACAATACGGTAAATATATATTAAAGATGGTAATGGTTATCGATTTCAATTGGACACTTCAATCATCATCAGACCTAATAGACGAATTGCAAGAATCTTGAATGGCGTCCCTACTTATATCCATTAGCTACCGGAAGTACTGGCCAAGAAATTTCTATTTGTACACTTGTAATCAAAATTTACTCGTACATTAGTCAGCGTATTTCTATTTTTATTTTTGTCTTTATATTTTTAAATATACAATTTTATTTTATTTTATTTTACATTTTAACGGACAGCTCCATTTTGATATTAGGTACAATTTAGGGCAATACAAACAAGACTTACTTAAAGCTAATTATACAATAATGTTGAGTTAAAAACAAAAAATCAGAATAAATTAATAAAAAAAAAAACGGCAACAAAATGGAAAAAAGACAGCGGCTGCAACAAAACATGTGAAAATAAACAAAACAGTTACAACAAAACAAGTCTATAAAAGCGTTACAATAAATAAAAATAATACATTTGATTTGAGTAGATAACAATAATATTTAACAAAAAAAGTTTAAATTCATTAACAAGAAAAAACAATTCTTCCTAAGCATTCTTTACATAGCCTTTTTTACAATTCGTATATCAAACGGACACAACAATCTAAAGTGTATCCATCCATCCGAAAATTCACAAGACCGCAGCACAGACAATAGAGTAAACCATTAAAGTATTATATTGTCTGTGACCGCAGATTTAGATTCATGCCGTACACGGAGCGTACAAATTCCCACTTAGGGAAGCCAATAGGAATAAAGAACTGGACACCATTAAGAATATCACACAAAATATAAAACTCCTGCCAGGAGTCAAATTATTGATAATGCAGCTGTTTGTTAAGAACAGATTTTTATGAATTTAAGCTTCCTAAATATGGCAC